CGACGCACCACCGCCAGCCCGTCACCCCGAACCACACCCCGACCGAGTCACGGGATTTTCCAATTCAATTTGCCCGGTAACAAAAAGTCCCCGGTGCCAAACACCGACCACATATCAAACTAACCCTAGGAACCCTAGCCCTATCGGGAGGCAATCAGTCCGTGTTTATTATAAATCGATCGAGAAATTACGTCGCGCGACGCGCGTCGAAATTTCCAGAAACCGAACGAGTGCTGTGCGCATTTCGGACGATTTGTTACAAGTCAACTCCTTCGCATTTGTCGGGAGAGGATTAAAAGAATGCGACGAGTTCGCCGCCATATATAGTAGTGAGTTGATTCGATTACGGGCACAATGAGCGACGGAGCGTTTTCGTAAGTTCATTGACTCCGCGAACAATGTGGCGGCGGGCGGTTGTGCCGCCGCGGCCCCGCCTGTCGCATCTGCTGCACGGCCAAGGATTTTATTTCGTGCGACAGGACTTGCCACATGTCCTGGCTCGCACCGCTTCCGCCTGGCCCCGAAAACGTTAAATAACTGTGCAAGAAAACTATACCCGACTTGTAATCTTTGTCCGGTATCATTTTGGAAAAATATTGGAAATAAGTGACGCAAGATCACTATAAACAGCCGTATCTAAATATGATAACCGTATCGCAATATCACTGCGAATCTAGAAACCTTCTCGGTTCAACGACGAAAGCGTATGCATTCATGCTCATTCTTAGGGATTTACAGTTGGGTCGAGTTAAGGTTACTGAGTCATGAACAGTTTACAGTAGAGAAATCACGTATTGCGAAAATATTCAAGTGACGCATCGTTCAGTCACACTAATTGTCTCTGCAAATTACAGCAGTGCGCCGCAGAAGTTATACGATATGGCTAGTAAATATAACTTAGATATGGTTACGCGCCTTGCTGTAAGGCAAACTCGGTGGACGTCGCAAACGATGATTGATTGATGGTTCGTCAATGTTGCCACCTTTTAAAGCAGATAACTATACTGCAACCGAGCAACTGTTGCATTGTTCATATTAAACGATAGAAGTTATTTATTGTGAATTTATAACATGAAGACCAGTGTAAAATGTCTCATGTTTGAAAAATTTCCTAATACCGCTTTAGGTTATTAAAGTCAATTCAGGGTTAATTGGGTTGAACGTCTTACTCAACAAATAGGTTTTCTAACAATGTCATATCGATATTATAGATTTATCTATCAATTGATATTGCCATCGTAATGGGCTCAATTTAATCAGATAATAAGCCCCTATGTCAATCGACATACGGGCTTATTGAAGCGTGAATGTAACAAATTCTACGTAACCCTGTGAGAAAGCGACTGTAATTGGAATATACAATGAATCATTTTTCGAAATAAATAGTCTTTACACGTATTGATCGATGTTATAATAAAACAAAACATAATGGCCCAGTAGGTGCAATGTTAACGGCTTTGGAGCAGTGGGGCGTAGGTGCAATTCTCAACCGGAACAAGAGCTTGAAATACATATTTTAGACTGCTTCACCATAGAGAAAAATTATATATACAGTCTATGGTATAGCTAAAGAAAATAGTGTTTCTTCAATTTTCGCAAGTTGATTGCTCAGTAAAAAGTGTCAAAGTAAGTTTAACAAAACCTTCCTTGAATAAATCATAAACAGCTTTATTTCCTATTACTTTAAGTGAGTCGTAATTTTTTATCGCTGTATCTGCAAGTTTTACAAAGCATGTGGGACTAGTGCTTAGTAGCTCTAGTTCACCCACTCAACGGCGTTCGGGCACCGGCGAGTTATTACAATCGAGTTAACTTTAAGAACATGACTTTCTAGTGACTCAGAGGAAGAGGGCTATCTGGCGCAGACGCTCTCAATAAGGAAGTGGGTAATAAACAAATTCATCCCTACCATCTTGGGTGGATCCGCGGTCCGTTGAAATGCACAATGCTGCACTGTACACTGGGGCGGCGGGCTCGGACTCAGGAGGGGCAGCGGCTATTTTTAGAGGCTAAATTGATACGCCAACAAAGGAGAGGATGAGAGCAATTAACACGCACTTTCGCCGCAACGCGGGTCACGTCGCCGACTATGCGTAACCTAAATATGGTGGGATTTAGGGACAGGCCGTGATAGCTCAGTGTCCGTGCGCTCGCCTTTAATTCAATATACTCGAGCAACCTGAGTTGGATCCCCGGTGCCGGCACCAATGAAATTGTTAATTTTAAGTGCCGAATTATCACGTGCTCAGCGGTTATGGAAAACATCGTGAAGAAACCTGCATATTTTCGAAATAATAACAAAAAAAAATTTCGAAAATATGTGAAGTCCGCCACGCAGTGGGGCCCTATGCTGGACTATGCCCTGATACCCTCTGTACAGAGGAGGCCTTTGCCCAGCAGTGGGACATGTATAGGCTGATAATTTACTTTACTTTTTAGGGACAGGGTGATCCGGAAAACCCATCACGAATTTAATGAAAGCTAACGAAAGCGTTTCGATACGTAAAAATTGTTCTCGGCACTCGTCTACGAGATCCGGTTGTGTATACGGGAGTTAAAGGACGTGCTAGCCCGACCCACCTAATCCAGTTTATATTCCACATTCTATTCAAATGGACTCTATTTAATATTACAAAACGACCGCCCAACTGCACGCGGGCTGCCATTAACAGTGGACCATCGTAGTCAACAGTTCGTTATAATGCAAGTCGTTACGACACGTCGGGGCAATTACGATAATGCTAGAGAGAGCCAACGTGGAAACAAAAACTGGTCCACACAATTAAATTTCCCATCTTCCCGTTCAATTAGCTCATCGCGTAGAGAGTTCCACCCAGAGGGTGTGAGTAGCTCGATTGTTCTCGGAACACGTTTACCGACACCAGCTTGACCTAATTGATCATAATAGGGCTTCATTCATCGACACAAACCCTTTGAAGATCTTTGAAATAAACTTAACGTTTCACGCGTAGTCAGAAGGAGAAGAGTTATTTCATAAATGTTACACATTTTCTTACATTGACGAGAATCAGACACATTATTAAATTAAACTATTTTTTAACTCAATGAATGTAATAAATTATAAGGAATTGAAAATAAACGTGATAAATTCATAAAAAGAGCTTCATTTACTAATAGTTACATATCACTTAAAACTTTAAAAGAGGGCTCTTGAGAGCTTTACAGACTGGAACACTAGACGATTATTTAGAATTTTCCCCACATTTCTTCTATTTCAAGTTGCATACGGCGCTTCATTCATTATATTGATATAACTGAACGCTTTCTGTAGGTACTATATATGCCATCGTATTAAACGTCGTGTGGCTGTGAAAGTCATGGTCGTCGCAACTTAGCGAGTTCGCTAAACTGGTTTGTTTAGCGTACTCTACTACTCTACTCTACGCTCAAGTAATTACATAATGGTGATTCAATTATGGGTTACCTATGCACTATTACTTTTCAAATAGGATTGGTAACAAAACTGATTAAATCTTATTAAATAATAAAACAAAAACACACCTGGCGCTTTACCAGCAGGTCAGAGTAGTCGTTAGTAACTTGAATATTAAAAAAGTATCTTATAGCATGACTGACTGGTGCGTCGTTGTTAATTTTGTAGTGTTCTTCTATAAGTAAAAAGTAAAAGTAAAGTAAAGCCTATACATGTCCCACTGCTGGGCAAAAGCCCCCTCTATACAGAGGGTATCAGGGCATAGTCCACCACGCGGCCCCACTGCGGATTGGCGGACTTCACATATCTTCGAAATACATTTTTTTTTGTTATTATTTCGAAAATATGCAGGTTTCCTCACGATGTTTTCCTTCACCGCAGAGCACGTGATAGTTAGTACTCTTCTATATAATATAGTGTTCTTCTATATTATAAGTAAACGACTTATGAAATATAGAAAACACGTAGAGTGCGAAATGTTTCGTCATTGAAATCTGGCGAATAGCCTTCGTGAGATATAGGAATATGTCTTCGCACGATTTCCGCGGCGGCTGTCGATTGTCGAGTATGTCGCGGTCGTTTACATAGGAGTCGACGATAAGCGAGCTAAATTTAGCACGGGCGGGGATGCGTCCTGCGCACGACACCTACGCGGCACGCACCTCGCCCAACCTCCCGACAGCCACCCGCCTTCAACCCATCCCGAGCGACCCGTATCGACCCGCTCCCAGCTAACTTACTAACTACGCAGTTAAAACGTAGCAATCGCCCCCAACTAAGTGGGCGCTTTATTAAGCCCGCACGCGGACAACCCCGGTGAGCGTTAACGAGGGAAACTGTAGACAGCTACGTGGAGCGTCGCGGCCACATTGTCTGAACCGGTGCAGCGATAAAAAAGAACAAAGAACCATATAGGAGGAGGTTCGATTCCATTTCGCACGTAATCACCCGAACAGGGTACAGTTTCTTATAACAATGGCGTGAGTTTATTTAACAGTACAACTCGGGTACACTATTAAAGTTGGTCAAATAAAAAGGACTAGCGATGAGAACGTGAGGCTCGAGGTGGATCGATACGCGGGCGTTGTTGAATACTTCAGAGAGTACTGTACATATAAATTATAAACTGTTGATAGGCCGCGTCGGATACGCGGAATTTTCAATCGTTTCTAGATGCAACGCACCACGCGGCACCGCCACCGCCAGATGTTAATCAGGCGGGCGGTTGTGGGGCAAACTTGGCTCGTCCGAGCGCTGCCACTAGATAAATGGGAAAATGTACATGAAGTCGCTAATCTTACTAAGTAGTCATGTTCCGAAAAGGGGATCGACGTGAAACTGCAACATCGTCCAAAAACACGGGGCGATTGGGCGGCGCCGTAAAATCGATACTGCTACCCGCCATTTGGAGAATCAACAAGTCTGTGGCTCACGGAATAACCGGCGACGTCCTTAAAGATGGGCGTGTCGATCGATCGATTTTTTACATGACAGCGACTTAAAAAAAGTATTCTCATTATCGAGTTCATGCTTAATTGTAACTTACCAAGCTTTCACGCGGATGAGGACCTCGCCTTCGCCGACGGTCGGCTCGGGTTTCTTGAGTATCTTCACGGTCTTCAGACCGCCGAAGCCGGTGAGCACGACTGCGCGCATCTCCTTCGGCGGCGGCGTCGTCTCCTTCTCCTTCTCTTCGGTCGCCTTCTCTGGGGTCTCCTCTGGCGGGGTCTCCGTTGTGCCGTTCTCGGTCGGGGTCTTCTCGGGCGCGGGCGCGGCCGTGGTCTCTGTGCTTTCCGTCATGTCTGCCGAGCGGTTTGGGTGCGACGCGAGCGGTAAGGTTGGCGGACGCGCTGAGAATGAGCCCTGTCGAACGTGTGGTGCGCTGGCGGCCGGCGAGACGACGCGTCGCGGGACGAATGAGTGGTGGGAAGGGCGCGGCGCGCGCAGCGAGGGTGCTGTCGGGGGGCTGCGGCGCGGAGAGGCTGCGGGCGGGGGGAGGGTTAGGCTGCGGGTGGGGGAGGCGGTGCGCGGGGGAGGGGGCACGCGCGCGCCACCGAGCGGCGAACAGGTGGCCGCCGCGCCGGCCGGTTCTCCGCGCCCGCACCCCACCGATATTACTCTACACAGGATTAACTTTATTACACCGTACCCGACATAAAAGCACACAACCAAGCCCGCCCACTACCCAGCAAGGCTGGACTCCCGAAATCGCGAGCGCCCAGCAGGACCGAACGTGACTTGGCACCGGCGTCGATCCCGCGCGCAAATATGTAAATTGCACAAAACGATTTGGCCCGTAACAATTTAAGCACGCGATAATTATTATTTAGGCTTTCGATCCAAAAACTTGGTACGCTGTTGAATAAGCAATACCGAATTCCCAGATCCGAATCGATCCGATTAAAACAATGCTAACTATAGATTTGTTGGTATACTATTCGAACAAATAGCACGATGATTGCAATGCATCGGATTGTGTCCTTCATTGCATTGATAACGCAGTCAAGTACTGATATCAGCATTGTTTATATGAACGTTATAAAAATAAAGTTGTCTATCAACCTGACCTTATTTATACAGGCATCTCAGCATAAATGTGATCCGGATGAAATGTCCGTTTAATGTTCTTCATTATAAAGCAAATATTTCATATTATATTCACCGCACGTCTGACAATGAATACAACTTACAGTGCGGAAATTATACGAAATTTCGTGATGGCTTTTCAAATGCATTGCAGCGCTATGTGACAAATGCGCTATAATTTGAATGAAGATTATCCAATTTTTATTATATAGATTTTTTCATTGATTTAAAATATATTAAATTTGCATCTTACAATAAATGTTAATTGCCGTCGACGAGATATAGAGCCGTGATAGCTCAGTGTCCGGGCGCTCGCCTTAATTCAATATACTCGAGCAACCTGAGTTCGATCCCCGGTGCCGGCACCAATGAAGTTTTTAACTTTAAGTGCTGACTTATCACGTGCTCCGCGGTGAAGGAAAACATCGTGAGGAAACCTGCATAATTTCGAAATAATAACAAAAAAAATATATTTCGAATATATGTGAAGTCCGCCAATCCGCAGTGGGGCCGCGTGGTGGACTATGCCCTGATACCCTCTGTATAGAGGAGGCCTTTGCCCAGCAGTGGGACATGTATAGGCTGTTACTTTACTTTTTTTACTTTTTTGCCGTCGACGTAATTATGTAGTAGAAAGACTGGTGGTTTTCGTCGAATAATGTATGTTTTAACTTTTTATTTTATATATACAATATCACTCTTGTATCGCAAGGCTGTTGGCCAAAGTATCGATTGATTTTGCTGCAAAACTACCGAGTGCAGGACGGTGAGTCATGACGACGTTAAATAAAACACCGTAACGTAATGAAAATTGGCCTTTATTGCATCGTGTTTATTTACGCACGTTTGTTTCGATGGCCCGTTTGCAGATAAGTACATCTGCTCTTGCGGAAGTGATAAACGGCAATTTAACTTAAATAATGACGGAAAGCGTTGAATACAGGGCGCCCAAGTAGACCGAACCCCTTTGAGGCTATGGTATCGAGGTACAAGTCAACTATTTGCTATTAACACTAGACTTATGGATACACAAATATGTTATTTGCTAGGGTATCAACAATAAGTAATGTTTTGTATTTAAAACACTTACTTTAAAATGTACTTGAACTTAAACTTAATTTAAAAAGTAAATAAAAAAAAATCTAAACCGACTTCAAATATATGAGTGAGATACTCACTGTACGTTTTCTATTTGATTTTGAGGAGTTCTCTGATATATCACCGGAATACAGGGTCCAATGCCAATGAAATTAATATTGGACCACATGGGACCTAAGCCGAATTCACTGCAAAAATAATTTTTAAAATGTGATGTATTAAACATAATAAAATGCAACAGAATTTAGAACCTCCTTTCTTGAAGTCGATTGAAAAGTAAGTATCTACAACAATAAATATTTACATTGCATCAAGATAATTGTTACTGATTATTTCAATCTGCGTTCTTCGTTATTTTCCTTTAGGTTTGACTCGTCGTAATAAGGTTCGTCGTATTCCTCGCAATAGTCTTCCTCAAATTCATCGTATTCGTCGTTCTCGTCTGTTTCTTCTTCGTTGCTAGCCACTAAACATTCTCGGGCGTCGCGTTTCTGCTTGCGTAGTTTATTCTCCAGAATCTGCAGTATAATAATTATGAGAGAATATAACTTTTGCGAAACACTGAGTTTACAAATTGGTTCAACGGATAATTGAGATTTTATATTATTGCGTAATTTAAGCAAGTCCCTAAATAATCAATAGATTTTTTTAATCATAGAATCTTAATGTCTTTTAATCTTTTAATCGCGTTTTGTATCACCTATAACTTTATTTTGAATCCGACGTCATGATAGTTGCAATATACTCTCTCTAAAAATTATGTTAAAACTACGAGCAATGACGACGTAGGGAAAAACGTAGTTTGGCATAACTGTAATGTTAATAACTGATAAGAGACCATAGAAAATGCCCGCTATTTTGTTTGAGGTAGGTTTTTTCAAACGGCAAGTATTGAGGACTAAATAAAGAATTCATAACTCAGAGATCAATAATTTGTACAGAGGATACTATGTGAGAAGATGCTTAATATGAATAATTGAGCCAATAATTGCATGGTATAAAAACTATTTTACAGATTTTGTAGCGTTTAATTAGATAATAGAATTTTAGAAGTTTTGAACATTTTACAGTTGCATTGGTCGCGTAAATTCAAAAATCGACAAAGTAAATGTATTTATAGCCTATAGTATCATTTTTATAATACATAGAACATGGTAATGTATACATTGCAATTTAAAGTTCTTGCAGGTCAAAATTACTTATAAATGAGTTTACCCAGTAATTTGTACCGTTCCAACAGATCATTAATGTAACCGCAGTCAGACACTTGCAATATCTTTAAGACTGAATTTTGCAAATGACGTTCTGAGAGCGGTAGTACAAGTATAGTCGTAGCGATTACAGTAAGCCGGTATTTTCAAAGAAAAATGAAGTAATATCCTTAGTGGAACAAAACCCGAAACATAATCCATGCTATAAAAATTCTCACAATGAGAGGACAATGGAACTGTTCAATAATACGTATTATATTGATGCACGAAGGCATACTGTGACAGGGCCACGCAGCAGTATTCGCTGTTGCACCAATGGGCTGGTCCGTCCAGGGAAGTAAAAAGACCTCACAGAAGACCGGCCTGAAGTGCAAGTGTTATACTTCTGCATTTCGTCTAGTGAGTGAGCTAACCGATGCCCAATGCATTGAAAGGTGTCAAAGCAGTTGTAACGCTACATTGCAAATGTCCATGGTCGGCTGTTATCATTTAACATAAGATTATCTTCTTACATAAAAAAATCTCATCTCTATTACTTTGCCCGGTTTGTACGATGACGGCTATTTAAAGTACAGCACTGTAACAGGAGAGCAATACTAAGATTGATAAAATTACGTCGTTTTCGAAACGACACTAAAAATACTCAAAACCCTTTAATATTAAAGCCGAAACCGGTTCTCGGGCAGTTCACGGCGGAACTTTCACTTATTGTCGAAATGTGTCTCAGAGAACGCTAGTATTAAAAATACATGAAATGTGAACTCGCTTTTAAATACGTGCCCTGAGTATTTAACTTATTATAGCCGAGTTAGTTAACCATTAAAAACAGATACCGTAAAAAATATCTAAGAACAATACAAGCACCAAACCAATAAATCGTGGAATACTAAAAACTCCAAAGCGATATTAATACAACTTTAAAACTAATAATAGACGTTCAAACAAAGATTTGGTTATAATGCCTCTTTTGTGTTTTATTGTTTGTACTGAACCAGATTGCAAGTTCGTAGTAAAAGGTATTAGTCACGTTGTCGATGTAGACAAAAGAAATGCTTTCGACGTAGTACGTATTCGCAGCCAGCTCATCAATAATGACACAGCGTTGACCCCCGACTCTGTTTTTATTAAAAATGTAATTTTTATCGTTGCGAATATAAAAGTTTTCTTATCGAGAAACTGTAGAATTTTCCATAATTACTGGTTTTAATACATTGTTGTTGTTACAAAATAGTGAAAGTATTGAAAAGAATAAGCATTGAATTAAATGACAATATTTCTCCTCTTAACTTGATATACTTATAGATTGTATATCATGTACAATAGTGGTATAATAATGATTTATGCTTAAAATACTATAAATTGTGTCTTTTCTTTTTTCAAGAGTAGGGGATTAACCTACTGTAAAAGGTTCTGATAATTTCGGACAAAACTTAAAACTCTTACAGGTCGAAGTGTTGCTGATTACGTCAAAAGCTTAATGCTAAACTATTATATGAAGGCAATTCTAAATATAATTTCAAATTACTTTAAAATGGCAACAATAAAAATAGACACGAAGAAAAAACATCCTTGCAACATGACGTACCTGTCTTTTGAGTAGAAATTCAGCCAATTCTTTTTTCTGTCTGCCGACGTCCAGCTCAGACGCCTTGGATGAGCCTGCTCTGTAGGACACTACTGGGGATTCCTCCTTGAGACTGCACCACGCGTCCTTGCTCTTCCTCCTCGCCGCAAGAAGCCTGTTCATAATCATCGCGTGATCTAAGCCGTACACGTTGTGCGTCATTTCCGGTATCGGATCTTCCTCGATAGGGAGGTTCTCTTCCAGTTGAGCTATCTTTGCCTGAAATAGTATAAAGTCTTTACTTCTTGAAAAAACTTTATCCGTTAATGTAATGTATAAATATCGAACATTCTAATCCTGCAAACGATGGTACGGTTCTGGGGAAGTACCGCAAACTCGTAAAAGACCGATATAGAGGATTGAGGCTTTAGCATTTCATATGGTCAATAAGGTAGAGGCCGAACGTTTTAGGTTGACAACAGACCTGATAATCCTCTGTTGTAAATGCTATTGTGCATGCTGCAATGATGTTATTAAGCCCAATAACATCATTGCTTACCATTAGTAATAATCGACACCATCATTCACGAAGACAAAACGTACTAAATACTATTAACCGGTAGTTTAATTAATGGCTCAGTGACCGGGCGCTCACTTTTAATTCAATATCAAGCAACCAGACTTCAAATCCAAAATTAAATTGTTAATTTTAAGTGCTGACTGGTCACGTGTTCAACGTCGAATGAAAACAGCATATTTTAGAAATATTAACAATAAAAGTATCTATAGTAATAAATAATACATGTGAAGTCTGAGGTGGATATGCGTTAATACCCTCTGTGTAGAAGGGGCCTTTGCTCAGCAGTGGAATATAAATATAGGCTCCTTTCAATATAGTTTTTAGTTATGCCAATCAAGCAACGGAATCTAAACGAACGTTCTAGAGGTCAGCAAAAATGTTATATGTCTAGACATTGATTTCTCAGTGTTCACCAATTTCTATAATGTCAGTGCGACATAAAACCGAGTTTTTTTTTCTGATAGATTCGCAAAAAGAAATATCATGATATACATGAGTTTTAAACAGTAAAAAGATACATTAACTAAGAGAGTGGCAAAGTAACATCGTATACGCCTCGCGCCCCAGGCGCCTGTGGAGAGTGCGTTAGTGATAACGATGCCATATAAAGATGATAAACTTGTCAGATGTCTTCAAAATAGTTCCATTATTTTATTTTCCATACAGTGATGTACTACATTACATTGGTATTTGTTATCTATTGTTTAGTTTAGTGTATTAAGCTGGAAATTAATTGAAAGAAAAGTACACTCAAATTTATAGACAAATCAAAGCACCCAAAGTCTCGAGGTAAATTACGATGAAATAAAAAAAAGTCTATGGTTGCTCTACGAAGCAGTCTTGTTGCACTAAGGGACTGCCTTCTCGTCCTGAGGACTACCACGGCTTTTTTCTTTTTATGTGAAAAGTTGCCAAACGAGCAGACGGTTTACCTGATGGTAAGTGAATACCACCGCCCATGGACATCTGCTACACCCGTTGCAGATGCGTTGACAACCTTTTGAAAATTGGGCTCCGGCTACCTCACTCACCAGACGAAACGCGAAAGTATTTGTCATAATGTCACTGCCACTTTACGCTGGTCTTCTGTGAGGTCGTGGTACTTAACCGGACGGGCCTGCCCATTCGTGCAACAGCCGAGGCTGCTGCGTGGCCCTACCACCGTAAACGCTTTATAGAAGACAGGCGTGTAGTAGAAGTATTATACTTTCGCGTTTCGTCTGGTGAGTGAAGTATCCGGAGCCCACTTAATTTTTGGTTAGCAGCGCATCTACAACTTCTTACATCAGGTCAACTGCTCCTTTAACAACGTCAACATATCAAATAAACAAAAACGGTTTTTTTCATTTGTAACTAACAATAAAGGACTCTCTGTTGCTTTTAATTTCAACTTTTCATTCAAAAATATCTCAAATAATAAGCAACAAGTTGTACCATTTCTTGCATGATACGCTTTCTTGGTCCGCTTCCAATAGCTGCAGAGATATTGGGGCAATATTAAATGCGGAAGTAGGCCCCTTTATTTAAAGCCCTTAAAGTATATACTTAGCAACATTATGAACAGATATTAGATAGAGCCTAATTATTTCTAAACTTAAGAAATGATTAAAATATGTAGAAAAAGTGCGAAAAGATTGGATTGCGAAAAGATGCCCATGGATGGTCTTTTAGACGGATCTGGAGTATTTTATTCGATAACCGTTTGTCCATTAATGACTCGGTAGAGCTGTTGCTAAGCTATAGGCTTTTGGCGTATGGGGTTGCGGGTTCGATTCAGCCAAGCCAATTAATATTCCCACCAGGCCAAGTATTTGCTTGACCTGGTGGGAATATTAATTACTCGGATAATTGTTCCGGATTAGTGTGTTTGTTCCCAAGGCTATTTTGACGTCAGGCAGGGATAGCATCATGATTTAAATATTGTGCCGACCATCTATAAGAGCAGGAGAAAGAAGAAAAAGAAGAATAGTTAGTCTACTAAGTAAACTCGAAAAGATTAATAAAAATCAACAAAACTTAGCCTCACGTGACACTAATTACTTTTCATAATTACTGAAAGTAAATATAAGGTACAACAGACTTTGGCCAAAACAAAGACATTGTAAAAGAATGAAACTTTTATAGTGAGTATTATAATTTCACAAACCCAAAAGTCATGGACACAAAGTACCTGCATACTCGGAACAACTATTAACGGTCACGTAAATTATTTTCCCATGTGGGGTTCAAACAAACAACGTGACGAACCAACACAAAAATTCCGCGCAAAAAAAGTCTAAGTGAAATAAACTAATTGTGTCTTTATTATAAATTATCGCTTCAATATACAATCTTCATAAATTCAGTTTTAGAATGTCAGTGAACTCGGTAATGACTTTCAGAAAAAATGGAACGGACTATGAGATATTATATGGTCGAGACGCTAAAAAGCCATGGATTCCTCTATAGAAAGCTCTGTGCTTGACAGTAAAAGCCCTCCAGAATCGTACAGTCGACTGATATACAACTATATACATAGATAGATATACAGTCAGAAAATAAACTGCTAGTATTTTATTAAATTCTCTACGTTTTATTGGAAAGTGAGCTGTTATTATTAAGATAAAATCATAATACACACACACGCACGTATGCACAAGGTGTGCTTACATAACAATTTTTTATTTTTTGATATTGATTTGTTATATTTTTTGCCTTATAATATTATTGGCTTAAAGTTTTATATAAATAAATAAATAAAAACACATTGTTTACACCTAAACTGATCAATTATTTTATATATTCTAATTATGAAATGTTAATGCTTTCTTGGCTGTAAGTTAAAAATATGTGATAATTTGGGTTTACATGTACAGCTGTGGATTTTATTGCTCAATAAAATAAAAAAAATATAAGTAAGAAATAGAGACAAAAAGAGAAATATCAATGACAGCAAAAGCACCTAAAAGTAGTAACTGTATACATTTAAAAAAATCATGGTTACATATTATAAAGCATTTAATCACATTTTAAGTTAAACAAGCAAAGAATCCAATAAAGTCCTTGATAAAGATTTGTCCATTTTATTTAAATGTTGCTGAAACGGCTGGCGGTTATATCACATTCGTCATTATACAGTACATATGAAATAAGCCTGATTTATATGAACTCAGCCGAGACGGATGAAAAAGGAGGAGGTAATTCTACTTGGAGGCACGAGTCAATAGCGTATTAAAAGAATTCCCCGGCGCGTCTCGCCGTCGCAAAGAGGACCGCAGGATTAAAGTCTTTAACAGCCGTGCACAGACATTACATATATAGAGTATTCATATGGATGTATATTTCTAATTGATCCTAGCAAGATTGCGCTCCGCACTGGCGTAAACTTGTGCGGAAGTTACGCGCGTTGCGACAGAAAGCAGAAGAAAGTTTGTCCTTGAATACATAATCTATAAACGTATGTAAAATGGCTGCATCGCCACTTACCATCACGTGAGATGGCAGTCAAGCGCTGACCAGTTTCAAATAAAAAAAATGTAAGTGAAAATTTAGTTACAATATAAAGATTCCAAAAATAGATTTGTCAGATTTACTCATTTAGTGACGGATGTCACTAAAACAAATGAGTAAATATTGTCCTTTTTTTTGGCCTTTGGAGGCCACTATCATAATTTCACCGGGCGAGGTGGCAGGGTGCTGACGATGTAGACAGAGGTGCTGGCACCAAGCCTTAACGTCGTTAACCTGATCCAAAATCTGTTGATTTACTCATCAGCTCCACTGGGCTATAGAATACTGCATAGCTCTTATTCGTACTTCCCACTTTAAGAGATCAATGATTGCGTATGACCCAAAACAATTACCTCTTCGGAGGTCGGATACTGAACTTTTACTAAAAAGTTATAGTTTTAAAAGTATACAATATTTGGCAGTGCTTTTTATACGGTTTGATGACGATGTGATTACAACATTTAATCAGGTTTTGTTACATTTATTTGATTATATTTTAGTCGGCTACCTATGAAAAGCTCATTACGATACGACTTAAAAAACTCATTTGGTCAAAACATTAAAAAAATTGTAGAAACCATACATTAATAAGAATATATAACTATGTAATAAACGCTAAGTTTGGTTGCCATAAGTTCTCACAACCGAGGAATTGCTACGCCAACCTTACTTGCGAAGTAAATCTGTGAAAGAACCAAAAGACTTGTCCAAGTCTCGGCGGTCGTTGGGTATTTGAGACGAAACCAAGAACAAGCAAGTATATAAGCAGGTACTCAGTCATAGAGCCTAGAGGTTCCGTCACAGGCAAAACGAGAACAAATCGTTTTTTAGATTTTTGTTTCACTTGATTATATCATACACGTCAAAGTTTTTCAAAATAAGATATTGATTGTACTTTTGTTTAAAATTAAGCATTGTTTTTCTTTATTAATATAAATTTAGTATGTAATCCAATTACTTACTGGCTTGAGTCTCATTTTGTTATATTGACGTCTGCAATGACAAGTATTTTAAGAACCATCATTTAAATGTAATGTACCTATAGACGTTTTATGTTCATAAAACGTCTATACATTAAAAAATCTCGGTAATTTTATCCTTTAGTATGCGAACCTAAACTAATTCTCTTAGCTTTATTGTGTAAACGCATTAAGCTTCATGTGTATAAAAGAAAGATCGTTTAATAATAAAACTAAGAGCTTTACTAAGT